ATCAGAAGCAATTTTTTTTGCAAAAAAGACCGAGTTAAAAATACTGACCGAGTCTCAATATACTGAGATTTATTTCCTCAAATTGAGACATCTTGCGCACGTCAAAATCAGTGCACAAACTTAATCAATGCTAATTAACGTTTCAAGAACAAGTCTTTCAACATTGAGTATTAAGTAAACTTTAACGATGAAATGATATAATAAGTAATTAGTCACCGCAATCATAGTCATTAGGAATATTCGAAGTGCAGCAGTTTAAATAAAATTGGACATTGTTGCTATTTGACGCAAATTATAGTAACAAACCATGTGTGTAAAACCCACAGGGCAGATTTACAACTTGTCGCGTTTTTTTTAAATGTAAAAAGAATAAATCACATTTAAAATGCAAATTGAAATTAAATAGGCAATTATATCTAACTGGCAATCGATGCAATATCGATATGAGAAACGTTTACAAACCTTATCTAGGTCTTTAGGTTCCATAAAATGTACCTAGGTAAGTAAGACCCACCTACAATAGGTACACGTGCAATCGGCGAATAAATGATTCATTGAGCAAACTTATCATTTTGGGAGTGTTTTTTTCAAGGATTTGATTAGAATCGCACTAGTGTTTACTTAGGGGGTATTAAAGCAAATAATTTATCAAACCGTTGCTATCTCAGATCATAGAAGGGAATAGATGTGAAACGGGGGCGTGGCGCGTGTCTCCGCGATATGCCCAGAAACGAACATCGCCCGCGACGCCAGGTTAGTCGCGATTCAGTCGTACTGAGGAAATGTTCTCCGATATTGTTGGATAATGCGTCGTAACGTGCAATAACATAAGTGAAACGAAGAACTACAGGAACAATGAAGTCATTTACCACATGTAAATATTGCAAATCCATTGGTATTTTGCTTATAAATAAAAAAAATAACGTATAATAATAAAAAGGTTTTCATACAAGCATTTTTTAAACCAATTTCGAGCCTTGCCCCCAGGATTTAAAGTATCGATATCTTATCGACTCCATTTTATCTTTCTTCTCTCTAATTGCTTTTTTCAAAGTGTGCGTCACGTCACGCGGCCATTGATTGGCCATAAGGCACGCCTTCTGGCCAATCACAGCACTTTTAAGCCGGTTGCACATGTTGTCGTAGACTCTCAGTCGCTTTGTTTTTACACAGTTGAATGTGTGTGTGGGAGCTGTGGTGGGGGAAATGTGGGGACACTGGTTCTCGTTGTAGTTACGCGCGACTTCATATCTATTCTCTTTCTATGATCTGAGGTTGCTATATTACTTTGGGTGAAAACCCTATTTTATCGTAGTCCGGGACTTAACCGGATCTCTGAACGAATCAACTTGTTCTAATATTCAATTTTTGAATTTAAATGTCGAATAATTAAAGGATCATTTACATTTCCCTGACTTCAATAAGGATTGTCGTAGATTCAAAGTCGATCTGATGACAATTTCCTTTAGTGCAATAGATTCCGCTAAGCAAAATTTAACAAATTTTAACGACTGGGGATCACAAATAAAACTTTATTTATATGGTGGTTAACGTGCTTTCTGAAGCACAGAATCATTATTACACTTTACAAACAATTAAGTAGAGTGAGGGTTCTTCTAACCAAAGGTGCATTAAATACCTATGTCATTAAGTGATTTTACTTTAGGTGGGAAACGAATATTGTATTCACAAAAAATATTTGTAACAAACACGGAGGTGTTAGTGTAACAACGAATCTCCGACTCGTGTTGACCAATTTGCCGCGGGAATTGGTGTCCCAGTTCTACGGTTTACGGTCAAATAAATTCAAATGACACACGAAAGTACTCATGCTATTATAGTTTGTCTCGTTTTTTATTTGGGAAACCATCCAAACAAACGAAGTTACATCGAATACTATTTTGATTAATTAAACGGAACATCAAGTTATACAGGGTGTTAGGTAAATGGGTATATGAGCTGACACTAGCCCATGTTAACATGGCCATATAAATGGTATGGTGAAGTCAGAAAATTGATATCTTCATTTTAATTATTTAAATTTTCATACAAATCGGATTTTATCAAATTTATTTTGTATGAAAATTTAAAAAAATAAAATGATGATATCAATTTCTGACTTCACTATACCATTTATATGCCCATGTTAACATGGGCTAGTGTCGGCTCATATACCCATTTACCTAACACCCTGTATATACTTCGTTTCCCAGGTATTGAAGCTGAGTTGCACCATCATACTTTAACTTTAACAAACGTCAAAAATCTGTCAAATTCCATACAAAAAGCACCGGTTCGGTTATCGTTATGTAGTAGTCAAAGTAAGATGATGCAACTCAACAGCTTAAGTCACTTATTTGTAGCTGTTTTGTTATTAAAGGTTCGGCCAAACCAACGCGTGCAACCTGCGTATGCAGTGGCGATCAGTAAAGATCAATAGGACCGCCATCACCATCGCGCACGCATAGGTTTGGCCGAATCTTTACGTAAATGTTTTGCGTAGCCTAACAATGCGCCCTGGGACAACTGTAGGTAGGTACTATCGGCCACAGTGTTAACCAAATCCATTTCCGTTTTTGCTCTCGCTCTCACCAAATGGTGATTCTTTGAGATAGAACGAGACGACATGACCGGCGGTAGTTAACACTGTTGCCGCTAGTACGAAATCCATGTCCCAATGAACAGTGTGAGGTCTAAAAAAAGATGTTTTTATCTATGCCCTTATCTCGCTCGCTTGCGGCGTGCACCCTCCATTTTGTGGCGTCAGCAATACTGAACCTTTGTTCAACTCGCTTCAAGTCTCATAGTGTAAAGTAGCCATTATCTGATTCTTTTCTTTGTCTTTAAGACTTGTAATTTTACATACATATTTATACATAGAAAAGATAATAACATAGGTTAAAGGATTTGATTGAATTAATAATTTCTAATGACGTGTATGCCCACTTGGCGCATGTTTTGGATGATATTTCTTTATTTTTGAGTTACAATATTTTTATACTACTGTATGGGTTCAAAGTATGACATTGGCTGCCAACAATAAAATAGAAGAATTTAACTGATAAGCAGCTTTCAATGCTATTAGCGCAATTAACTTCACGCAATTAAGAGTAACCAAGCCAATAATGATAAGTGAAAACAAGTTAAATAATTTGGCATTGATGTAACTGTTAGAAATGTGCTAAAAGTCTAAAATTAAGGTTTTTCAACTTAAAAATTTATTCATGAAATAAAAAAATGTTCCAGAAGCATACATAAATGCAGGGTTTGTTCTTCAATTAAATGTTACTTCTAGGAGATATTCATTTTAGACCTACATTACTAATGAAATAAAATGAGTGTGCAACTAAATAAACAGAGATCATTGAACCTCAGAACAATGGAGAATGGAGATAAAATTGTTCAAATATATCACAGCTGAGCTAATCACCTTAGCTGGTTTACCTATTTATTTTTATTTCATCATCATCATCATCATTTCAGCCTCAGGACGTCTACTACACATAGGCCTCTCCCAACGACTTCCAAATCGCACGGTTGGTAGCAGCCTGCATCCAATTAATCTAATTTATTCCGTCCATATAATTTTGTTTATTATTTGATATACAGGATGTTAGGTAAATGGGTATATGAGCAGACACTAGCCCATGTTAACATGGTCATATAAATGGTATGATGAAGTCAGAAAATTGATATCTTCATTTTAATTATTAACCGACTTCAAAAAAGGAGGAGGTTATATGTTCGACTGTATGTATGTTTTTTTTTTCTATGTATGTTCACCGATTACTCCGTCAATTGTGGACCGATTTTCAAAATTCTTTTTTTGTTCGATAGGGTACACTTCTGAGGTGGTCCCATTGTCACCAAGTCAGGATCTGATGATGGGATCCTAGGGAAATCGACTGCAACCCTCAAATTTTATAGGCACGTATATCGTTTTTCAAACATTTTCTTAAGTTATTCAAGTATTTGCTCCTGGAAATCATCATCTCAAATTCATGAGCTGATGATAGAAAGTAAAACTCCTTAATGCTTAGGAGTTGGAGGATAATTCTTTTAATTTTATAGATAAGTATAGTTTCTAAAGTTATTCAAGTGTTTGCATCAGATAGCCATCATCTCATCATGATGAACTGGTCATGGTAGATACAACTCCTTAACGCTTAGGAGTTGTAGGATAATTCTTTAAATATTATAGGTACAAATAGCCCAACAGTTGTATTATTTCATGTTTTTAAGGTAGGCTGACGGTTTAAGGTGTTTTTAGGTTGCCGATATGGTAACCTGTATTTTGTAGGGAATATTATTTTACACTTGACATGAAGAATATACTGCCTACCTTCAGTGGTAACACCAAGGTAATAATTAGTTAACTAAAAAGCAAGAAATAAGTTAATTTTTATAAAAAAAAACCGGCTCCAAAAAACATACACTAAAAAGTAGAAAAATAATTACTAATTACTTATTTATTAGGACGAATTAATATTTATGTATACCATGATTGATACTTTTGGAGTCGGTGCAGGCAAACTTCACACGTTTCATAATCTTGGCACCGACTCCAGAAGTATCAATCATGGTATACATAAATATTAATTCGTCCTAATAAATAAGTAATTAGTAATCATTTTTCTACTTTTTAGTGTATGTTTTTTGTTTTAATTTTAATACAAATCGGATTTTATAAAATTTATTTTGTATGAAAATTTAAAAAATCAAAATGATGATATCAAATTTCTGACTTCACCATACCATTTATATGACCATGTTAACATGGTCTAGTGTCGGCTCATATACCCATTTACCTAACACTGTAGGTAGAATTAATTTTACATTCTAATCATGGAATTCAGTAATAAAATGTGGGTATCATTTGCAACAGAAGCTTGAAGTCAAACAAAGCATACCTGAAAGAGGCACTTCCAGTTTTGAAGTGATATATACGTATATTTTTAATTATTGTGATAAGAAAAAGTTATAACATAATATTTTCTTACCTGTTCCTTAGTTGGGTTGTTTAGGAGAGCAGCATCATCAATATCGCCCATCCTAGCTTCCGAGTCACTCTCAACCTCAAAAATGATGTTGAAAAGATCCAAGCCGTCTGGAACGTTTGACTCAATATTTGCCTCTGGTCTGATTGTAAGCTCCTGGTTAATAAGTTGACTCCGACTTATGCGAAGAGAGCTACTTAAAGATTCTGAGATTGCCTAAAATAAAAAAAGAAAGAACTAAAGGGTAATGTTGACCTTATTTACTTTGTTTGTAGGTATTACGTGTTTATTTTTTTTTCACAACTAAGCATTGTCTAATTAAAAACTGTACAGTCAACAGCATAGAGGACTTTACATTTAGTTGCAAAATAGCACATATTACAATAACAAAAGATGCTACAGTATTAAGCTTGATGTGCTGTTGTCTGTGTTTCCAATAATGATTAAGCCAGTACTAAATTGGGAAATCAAACATTCAACTATTTTGAAGTTTGGTCATCCATATTCACTTCATGATGATTTTGCAAGTGTGAAATACTGAAAGGCTCCAAAAAATTATGTTAATCATGTTAATTGCTATGCTAATTGCTTTAACGATATGGAATGCCCACTTATTCTGGCAAAAAATGTGAAATGAATTATGTACTTATTATATCATTATCTAGTATTATATTATCTGTGTCATTATGTAGTCATNATCTGTACTAGTATTATATTATCTGTGTCATTATGTAGTCATTATCACAGTGGTATGTTAAAATAACAAGTATATAACTCGTTAAACAAGAGAGAAACATATATAGAATACGTTTCAAACACTTACCTCAGATATTAAGTCTTCCAGATCGCAACATACATTGGAAGTAAGAACGGGCGCTGGGCTTGGAGTGCGGCTCCGATCATCGGCGTACAAATCTATTCTTATGGGTTCCACCTCGTTTGTGCGAATTTCAGTGAACTCCATCACTGTAGGCTGTTAAGAAATCATTTGAAACTATAATTCACATACACAATTATAATCTGATACTTGACTAACACCTCAAAATAACCATCTTTACAGATTAACTGCAACCAAAAACTACTTGAATCTTACCCATCGAAAATTAGGTTCTCTTGCGAGAACAAGACATTTTCAATATGAGTAGATTTTCGCTAATTATTACACAAAAACCTCCGACAAGCAAATACTTGGAAGATATTTACCGACCGATTGAGAGAGAAGCAAACAAACGTCAAAATTCACAAAGGTTCCGTTTCACCGTTTCGCGTATGCACGTACCAAAGACACGTTGTTGATCGAGATCATACAAAAGTTAATTAAATAACTTTTGAGTTAAATTCACAGTTACAAACAAAGAACTTGCTATGAACGCGACACACCAAACAACTGATGATGCTTGCGGCACAGCTGTTAGCTTTGTGTACAAACGAGACCCAAGCGAAGCAGCCCCTGCGACGCTCGGGGCAGGTAGCTTTTTTTGTTGACTCCGACCATGGACCCCAAAATTATCAAAAAAAAACTTCTAATAATATACAATGGCCAGCATGGGTTCGCAGCCGCGCGTGACAATATTATTATTAAACTAGCTTCTCTATCTGGGTCATTCCATAAAAATCTGTATATTTTCGACGTCATTTTGTCCGTAACTTTTTTAAGATACTTTTGAATACTTTATTAGTGTAAATTATAGTTTATTAATTAATTATGTTATGTCTAAAAGGGCCAGTCACTTTATGCTTTATTTTAGGAGAAATTATAATTTTCAATTTTTTCATACTACATTACTCCTATACGACTTCTAATAAAGTATAAAACTTATAACCTTAACATTTATAAATAAGTTAATATACTTAATGTAGTTGTTTTGTTATTATCACTATATAAAAAACGTCATTCCCTAACTATTAATTTAGTCCCAAGCGCCGTTTAAAGCTAGGGCCTGACGGTCTAGGGACTGACGATTTGGAGTAAAACTTAACACAAATGCAGATTAACTTTATATTATAAGATGACCTATAGACCAAATTCTAACCACTTCCAGATGACCTCGAAGGTTCAAATTTGGCATCCAGAAAGGTAGTTATGTAAATACAAAGGAACAAATAAAAAACCAGTAAATTTTAACATTTCACATGTGATAGATAGATAGTAGTGCTCTAAATATCGATTTTTGAACGTCAATACCTAAATAACCGTTTGAGGTATATTTATGAAATTTGAAGCTGATGTATATCTTGCAAGTCTCAATACATGAGCCAAATTTGAAGTGTTAATGCACAGTAGTTTTTGAATGATGAGGAGTCAAAAGTGGCTCTAATTGGTTCGTCTAAATATACGCACGGTGCAGTCCCCTCCATGGAACTAGGCTTAACATGCTCCCGTATGTCTATAGTGTTTGCTCAATGTTGATTTAGTCGATTTTCTCCTGATGGGAACATGTAAGACAAAAATAAAATTTCCAATTTTACAGACCTTCTAGAGCAGATGCCGCAAGAACTATACAAGATATAGAAAAACTTGACGGTCTCACCTGTAGCAAATTGAATAAGCTTTTTTTAGTTCATAGTAGTCATGTCACTAGGACGCATAGTTTCCGAGGATTAAGCGAAAAACCGAAAAGTGATACCTTTAAACCCCCCTCTCCCCGCCGGCTCAAGGGCTAAGGGCGGGGACTTTTGCTATGTTCACCACCTAACTAGGCTAAATAAAGTCCCGAGGTCAGAAATTGTGTTCCACGGATTTCTCTCTACACCGTCGTTAAGGCATTCATTGACTGGACTAGAAGTGCCTGGATCAACACATGTTTCCGCAACAACTGCCACGTTTGCACTAATTCAAAAAACGGCTACTGCAAAGCCAGTATGGTCTGAGGATAACTTCGTATCGTACTTTAAACTCAACTAAATGTCATTCACTCTAAATACATATTAAAGCGCAAAATTATAAAATCAGTCCGTGGCGAGGGAATGACGCTAAAAGCTGTGGACTCTTTTTCAACTAAAGAAAATCAAATTATTGTTTATTGAAACCGCAAAATATTAATAGAATTTGGTGTAATATACATTTAAATTGATTATTCGTTAATTAAAACAAAGGATGTAGTTGATGTTTTTATAAATATGGGTTCCAAAACACAAACTTTTGGAGTACGGACATGCCTAGGGAATGACGTTTTGGGTCATTTAAAAGTAATTTAAGATGTTTTAAAAATAGTTTCAAAAATACAAATGGGTGATGAATAAAGCACATTGCGAGCTGTTATTTAACAATTTTGGAATAAAATATTAACAATTATTTCATGTGAAATGTGGCACGGACTAAGAGTTGACATATTTTTGTGGAATGACCCATCTAACTTTGTTTTGTTTGGTTGTAAACTGATGGGTCAGCAAAAATCACTTCTTATTAAATATACTTATCCTTGAAATACATAAATAACACTATATCCCTACTTAGCCCTGTCCCTGTAGTATCGTGAGTGAGTAGTATAAAAAGGAACTAGGTTTAAGTAGGTATCATTAAAACAAAATTAGCATTATACAAATTACAGTCATAATGAAATAATTTAGAAATCATCTTTAGTACAAGTTACCAAGCTTTAACATTGTGTTGGTGGCTTGACGTACTGGAAATAATCGCCAATACATACAGAAATTCAATGAACTATGCTGATGTTTGTGTCTTGAATAAATAAATAAACATCCATAGACATTTAACACTGCGCCTCTAGTCCCAAAACAGTTAGAAACAAGTTTTTCTAAGAGTATACTTATTAGAAAATGCATTACCTTTATTTGTAAACAAATATCTATAGTCTAATTTTTTAGAAATCAGCAGAAATGTCATCAAATATGGCCAACTGACATAAAAATATTTTTAGTCTGTGAACTAGTGATGCGACAAAACCTCTCGTTAATCGCGAAGTGAAATGTTGTAGTACTTGCGTATCATCGCCGGGTGATCGTCAAAATACTAAAAATATGCAACAAAGTCGCAACATTGAATGTGAACTGATTATGAAATTTTCGAGAACAGGAAACAAACTGTATGCACAGATGTAATCAAAAAGCACACTGGACAGTAAAACAATCAATGATATCCGTAAAGTTATTAAACTTCTGTTGCTTGCTGTTGCTTGCTGCGTGATTGGTGGATTTTGACATATCTGTCAATGTCATGTCAAAAATAACCAATCATGCAGCATTTGGACCTCGCGTCTACGTATTGCCATCTGGCGGATTTTTCAATCGCGAAAACCCTCATTGAAAGAAGTTTTTTATTTTCTTAAAAATAAACAATGGAACAATACGTAAGCATAATTGCATAAAAAAGTAAAATAATTTCGTTTAAATAAAACCGACTAAAAATTAAACTGACTCCGAAAAAGTAAACACTAAAAGTAGAAAAATAAATTTACGTTATCTCCAATATTGTCGAAGTTATCGCTGGAAAACTAAGCAAAGTATCGTATATTTTTTATTTAAAATTAATCAGTAATCGGAATAAGTGAATACTTAAAATAATATCGATTAAATTTACAGATTATTGTCTATGACTCACAGGTTACGGCACTGATGTGTCAGAGACAAGTCATAGACAATATGGAGATAACACATGATTTTAAACGTCAAGTCAATTTGACAACGTCACAAATTTTCATCGTCCACGTATTTTGCTAAAATAATTTGTTTCAAAGATTGATTTCAAACTTGTATAAACGTGAAAATAAAGTTGGTTTCATGGGCTTGTTAAATAGTGTGTATGATATTATGAACACGTAAGTGATTATGGTGTAATTGTGTATGAAAGTGTTTGTTTACATCTCTGCTGGATTCTAAAAAATCAAGGTATACATTAATATAAACACAGTATAATAGAAACACCCATACAAAAACAAAAAAAAATTAAGTTCATGCACTAAAATGTTTCTAAGTATGTACTTACATACTGTGCAGAAATCGAACCCGCGACCTCTGACATAATCCTTATCGAACCACTACACCACACAATACTATTGTAAATGGCAGACTAGGGTGATTGATTATTGATTTGCAATTACCATTAATGCCATTAAAGTTTATAATATAAATACAAAAACATAACCCTCTTCTGGCGCAGTCGGATAAAACAGTGGTAAGGTTACTACCACAAACAAAACCAAAATGGTAGAACTAATTTGTGTGAGTTATTTGAAATAATTTAATATGAAATTAACTTAATGCATCACGTAATGTCCTAGACTATGGATTTCTTTCGATTCTTCACTAGGCTGTTTTTCCACGGATTCGGAACGAATGCACAATGCAACGCGTAAAAAGTTATGGTGAAACTGCACCTTATTTTGATTCAATTCTATTTTAGATTTTAGAGTTATATTATACCTAAATAATATGTGCTCGCGCTTTAACATTGAAAGCCGTTCAAAGCATTAGCATTACCACAGGCATTACACCAAAAGGAGTGGATGCTGCTGCAAGAAAATATTATTAATACTCCTAAGAAATGAGTCAAGAAAAATTCTGCACCCTAATGGACAACTTGCTTTACTTACAGTTTTTATTATTTATTTTCTCAAAATTTATAGCCAACCTAACGGAATGAATTCTGATGATGGCAACAAAATGAACCATGCATGCACACCATAGACAAATAAAAAAAAGTAATGTCAAATGCTGGCGTCCGTTTGAGTTTGGATAGATTTTGCGTTGTTTTTGAAATTGAAGAATATAATTTTAATTTTTAGGGTTATTTACACAACTAAAGTATCAGAATGATGGAAAATTCGGTAAACGAAGGTGAGGTGCATGAGTCATTTCGATCGCCACCTCGGCGAAGGCGGTCTACATTCTTTGAAAGACGAGATTCAGTAGGTGAGTAAAGTGATAGTTCGCGGAGACTTTAAACTGTTTCATATATTCGTTTTGTTGAAACGTTTCTATTTTCCAGTACCACAACCACTATCAGAAAACATTGATCCAAGTCAATGTGCAAAAAGCTCGACGGAAAATGATAAACACAATCAGGAATTGCAAACGTAAGTATGGCCCTGTGACTAAACCTTACATCGTGTTTTAAATGTTTATTTTATGGCCTATTTAAAAATGATCTCTTCGTAGGTACTACGAGAAACTGCTGGTAGAAAAAGAACAGTGGAAGAAGGAAGTAAACAATCGACGAAACAAGTACCATGACCTGCGACAGTAAGTAGTGAGAGTGATGAAAGAAATATTGTGAAACCTGAAGATTTAACATTGATACACTATCTTCAATGTATTTTTTTACTTCTAGGCAGTATCAGATGGCAGTAAAAGCTTCAAGCAGATCGAGAATTTCTTATTCAGCACTTTCGAACGAAGACATTGAGTTTCTAAAAATGAAACCGAACATTTCAAAACTTGTTGAGAGCCAATTGAAGTTGCACAAATCAGTGAAAGAAACAAGGGCTTTGTACAGGAGGGCCAATGAGCTGGATGATGTCATATTGAGTTTCAGTGAAGATAAAATTAATAAAGTAACAGAGTATATCCTTGAAAACAGTACTGTTGAACCAGTTGAATAAAACTTTGTATTATAGATTGGTACTTGTAAATATAATATTAGGAGTAAAACTTCAAATTCATCATACAGGCTCATATTTATGACTTGTTTTTAAAATAGTGTTGTTTCAGTGCCATGGTATGCCTTTCAAGATTGTGTATTTAATAAATCAAAATATTAACAAGTTTCGTATAAATGCTTAAACTGTAAATAATAATTTAATGTAGTTTTTAAAATAATTATTGTACTTTGTACATAACATTAAGTAGTGTAAATATTTTTACAATAAAATACTAACTGAACTATTTACTTTTTTAATTGATAAAGAAGTGATAATAAAATTGACTTAGTTCAATGAATAACAATTTTATTTCAATATTTCATTATAAATTATTACAATTCATTCATACATTAATACAATTCATACAATGGAATTAGACAATTTAATTTTCAACAATATTAATTAAAATATCAGAGTGGATTATCAGTAGCCAGTTTATCGTAAAATACTTGTTTTTGGTAATTATTTAAGCAGTCAATTATTATCCTTAATAATACAATTACATGTTTTAAAATTATTCTCTTATTCATTCTGAATCCAATTTCATTTTATCAAATTATTAAAATACCTCAAAGGAAAGAGTAAAAGCTATTTTATTTCAAAAATATTAATTTTAGTAGTAGCAATAATAACCAAATGATTTCAAGTCTTCACTCTGTATCTAAGAAAATGAATTTCCTAAGAATTCAATACTTTGAGATTTTTAACACAAAAATATTTAAAATTAATCACATAAACAGCAATAATGTCAGCACTTATACTCTCAGAAAGACATGATTGCATTTGGCAAAATTAAATAATCCCACTATATTCATACAATTCAATAATAATTCAACACACTATTACACACATGCAACATGAGTTCATAAATTTGAGATACATCAAAGCGTAATAATACATCAGTAAAATTATAAATAACGAACGCTTTGGTGTGATCCCATTTTTATGTGGTTTAGTACAAAATTAATAAAAAATACAACAATATTGTTTTGAGAATATCAACCGTGTTACGAATTACAGCTGGAAGCCTTTGTCAGTTACCAACGTAATGGACTTGGACTAAACTAGGTATTTACATGATTCATAATATTTCTGTATGTTAAAAATTGCAATTTCATTTAAGTTGACAATTCATTAAAGTTCATTTGGACTAAAACAATAAATTAATAATTAAACTTACGATAAGTAAGGCCCAGCGCTCACCAAGCTATGTGGCAGTGATGTGTCGATCATGATTACTTAACTATAGTTACGACTAACGGCTAGTTTCCCAAACACAAATAACTGCTAATTTTGCTAAAGTATTAGCATTGGGTTTACTTATTTTTCTGCAACATATGCAGTGTCCTTAGTAGGGATGTTATGGATATGTAGTTTCGGTTATGGATACGGTTACGGATATAGGAATAATATTATACCGGTTTCTGTTACGGATATTTTTTTATTTCGGATATCCGAAAGTTTCAGTTACGGTTACGGATATCTATGTTTAGAATGCAATTTGCAATAGTTTTCCAACACGGTTCATTCATGGCCGCACACTTTACATCGAATAAAAAGTAATAAAAAAATAAAAATTGATACTAGATGGCATTATGAAGGTAAATCAGGCTGTTATGCTATACAAAAAACAATTCAAACTGCCAACATCCGAAACTATCCGAATCTTTTGAATCGGTTACGGTTTCGGATATTTTTTTATTTCGGATATCCGAAAGTTTCGGTTACGGTTACGGATATCCATAACATCCCTAGTCCATAGATTTGTAAAGCTGGCAAAAACGATAATTAGTAGTATGATGATTTTTTGTCACTAATCATGAACACTGGGATAGTAATGGATCAAGTAGGCCCACGATTTTGGTAACAATCAATATTTACAGTATTGGCTTAGTAGTATAGAATTTATTTGAATAAAATAAAAAAATGACCAATTTATTTTCAAAGAGCTTATGGACGTACTGAACATATTATTATCCCAATGCTTTTCAATGGGATAATAGATAAATTAGAATGCATTTGAACAGGAACTTTCAATGGGGAACTTCATATTACACTAGTCATGCAGTCTTTATGAAACTCAACTCAAATGCCTTGTGTGTAAGCTTCTTCTCGTTTGCAGTTTCTTGTCTTTAGAAGTCTTGTATTCACGGCGGCACGGGCTATTCCTTAGGTCGAGAATTGTGTTCACTTTGTCAACGATTTCTCTAGCGACATCGTGTTCACATTCGAAATCGTATATTTTGTAGGCTGTATTTGGATGGAAGAAACTTGCGTTACCTGAAAAAATTACAATGACCGCATAAATTACTTTGAAAATTTAATCATCTGATGAAGGCATGCGGGTCGACTCCTTAAAAACAGCGACAGGCGAAAGTCGCGCGTAGCTGTCTGAAGAACTGACGATTAATAGTGGAGTACATTCGTCCAAGAGCGCTCGCGTATGCTCCACTGAATGTCTCGGGTAAGGGGCTCTAGTACAAAGAGAGAGCAAATGGACAACGGACTTGGACGAATAAACCACGTCCAAGACAACGGACGATGTTGAACATGCTGCTGCTTAAAATCGACGAATCTTTAGTTATCTGTATCTCTAACAAGGGAGCGGTCTAGTGTACGTACACTCCCCACTTGGCCTGCCTCGGGTGTCTAACCGAAAATAATGCCACCATTACATAAAGAGTAGGTAGTGAAAAAATGACATATTTACCTGAATTGCTTCGATCTAACAATCCCAAGTTGTGTGTCGGCGAGTGGACTATTCGAAATGTAGTTTTGTTTGCTTTCGCTTCCAGTATTTGACACCACGCTATCGAGTCTATGTTCAGTCGAAAGTATTTTGATCTTGACTGTAATTCAAATAAGTAAATATTAGAAATGTATTTATAGAAAATTCAACAATTCAAGCACACACTCAAAAGAGCTGACTGTACATGACATTTGCTTTTTACACACATTCTTTATCTATCCTCAAATAGATAATATCTTACCCAAAATGCGTGTTTGTGTGCTACCAGTGGTTCCACCTCTATCCTCTCTAGTGACACTCCCAACTGCACCAAAGTGTTCGTTCGCACTTTACGCAATAAATATACTCTATACGTTTTGTACTGAGGTGCATCTGTTGCTATCAAATGTGATTGTATTTTGTCTAGTTCAGATTCCTGGCCTCTTTTCTCTGGAATAATAGTTATTAAACTTACTACTAGAAACTAACTCATACAAAACTTAATTTTGTGATAGGTTTTCTATCAAATACATCAGCAATAATACACAAACTCATATTATACCATACCTTCAGCAACAGCATTAATAGCTTTCCTAACTGCTTCAGAAGTGGCACTGCCTCCAGTGTTGTGCCTTGATGGGTTGTGTTGACTATGACCTGATTCCGTTGCTTTAGGAAACACTTCAAGCATGCCATCCTCCGGTATGGATATAGGCGCATGTGTGAAGTAGTGTTTGCTTTTCAAGTCTACAAGGCCGAGGCAGGTGAAGCCAAACTTTGAACAAGGCTCGTTGGCATCAAGGCAAGGGAATGCCCAGTCTACTTCCCCATCGTCTTCAGCAATACATAACCCATAGTCATGCACAGATCCAAGAGTGATATCAGGGTGTTCAATGCTAAAAAAGAGAGTTCAAGTTCACCAGTGAATGTAACGCCCTAAGCGATTGCCCATAAGCAAATTAAGGCTTATAGGCTAATCCAGCATTGAGTGAGGATAAAACTCAATTTTGCAAGTAGCCTAGAAAGCGCTTTTACATAACCATTGTGTATGAAGTTTTCCTTTATTGCAGTTATTATTTATCCTTTAACTTATTAAACTGTTTGATCAAACATTTATTTGATTATAGTAATATAAATATTTGAGAAAGCTGTTAGGACCTAAGTTTGTGACATAAATTTTTATTCAAATGAACATAATTTTTACCTGTATTTATAGCATGTAAAGCCAATCAAATCCTTGATCTTAGCATGGGCTATGATGCACACCACCAAAGGGTAGTTCTGATGTTTTTCAGGTAGCATTGTCATGAAGATTTTGAATGATTTGGTGGGCAAACCGAGCTGTGCTGTCCCGTCAAATTTAGCATATTCGAGATACTGACGATGAGGCAGGTCAGGGCACTGCTCCATTTGCTCAGCAAGCAAAGACTTTAACTTCTCAGGTTTCTTCACTTCCATTCTAGAGAATATCTCTGCCATCTGCTCTGATGTTAGTTGTGTTGATGTGTCGTCCCATTTTATGACTTTGATTTTAGCTGCCTTTTTTAAAGCTTGTTCTTTTTTGTCTAACCACTGAGCAGTATTGGATCTTTGCCTGGAATTTCAAGATTAATATTATAAACAGTGATGTAATAAAAACATAGTGGTAAACATAAACCAAGTACAATAATGAGATTTTATATTGAGAGATTGAATGAGATTTATTTATTGAGTTTTTTGTACTTGTACATACCTGTGTCCACCAAATTCTTCATATCTGATGTAGCTGCCACACATCAAATCGTCGTCCTCACTGTCCTCCATATCTGGATATGGGTCGAATTGGGTCACGATTTCCTTCTCATCTTCTTCAGAAACGTCTCCTTTACCTTCTTTGCCTGAAAAAGTATCACATTAAGTGGTGACTGCTCAATTATGTTTTGTTTTATTTTCAGTTTTATAACACAAAATTGGTTTTATTTTACCTTTACTAGTACTCGGTTGGTTTAGTCGGCTTTCTCTAATTCTTTTCCTGTCTTCGAAAGCTTTGTTTTGAAATATTTTAGAAAAATCTTCACCAGCCATCACTATCTCACACAAACCAGTGTCGTCTGTTGCAATGAAAGCATCTCTAATATTTTTGAGGAGCCAGATTTTGTTGTCATATGTAGCCATGTCTAAGTAAATATTTTTTGTTGCAAAAGACAATTTTAATAACTTCGTTTTTGTATTTTCCGTAACCAAAAATCTTCCAATTTTCAACCAAACAAATACACTTGACAGCTACTCAGTGTTGCCAGTCGGGTCTAGTCAGAAATTACCAGAAATATAAAAAAAAGTAACCTTTTTGAATCAAAAGTAACCTTCATCTTTGCGGAGCGATGATTGTGTAAGGTTGTTCATTCATGGATGGAAAATGAATACAATTCGATGGGTGCCGGGAATAAAGCCACAATCGACAAAACACAATTTTACAGTCAATTTTGAATAATTCTAAACTACGAGGCGTATCAAAACGGTTTGTATATCAAACGATGCGTATATTTTTTCTGGAGTAGAAATACATATTGCCGCTTCATACATTGACAGTCGGTTCCGTAAGAGTCCATTGTGGTTTTATTCCGGTAAAAAGTGTGCAATTAATCAAACAGCAATAGTGTATTGCAGCCTCGGGCGCTGATCTGAAGGATACAGTAATAGCCGTTTGCTTGTAGAAGATTTACGGCACGATTATTCCGGTAAACAAATTTTAAATGATGAATTGGAATAACGATTCAATATCCATAGTGCTTTTGGTAAATCAGGCAGTTTCAAAGATAAAATTCTGAAAAAAATTCAAAAGGTGTATAGAGACCCGCAGTTTACTAAAATCACTTAATCGGAAAACTGCTGCTATGGCTATTGCGGCTTTATTCCAGGCACCCATCTAATTGATCATCTAAATTCGAAAAGTGACCAGTCGTATAAAAACGTTTCATGGATTAGTGTTTTATTATCGAAAAACATTCGCTAAAACTCATTTTTTTTAGCAAATAATAAATCAAATTCAAGTTTAAATGCACTTTTTGACATAATTTTTAAATCACTATTAATATTTTTTACTGAATAACCTGTAAAGTGAATTCTACAATTTCTGAAAAATCACCTAAAAGTAACCTTTTCATTAGTGTAACCTAAAAGTAACCACAGCAGTTCAAAAGTAACCTAAAAGGTTACAAAAGTAACCTTCTGGCAACACTGCAGCTACTGTTTTTTTTTTTTTTTCATATGAANATTTTATTAAAATAGTATGAATGATTACTCCCTTATTTTATTTCTAACCCCTTAATATTACCCCGTATTTGGGTGCATACTTACAAATATTTCAAATTGAATAAATGAAGAGCATTCACAATATTTCGCCAATGTATAACAAGCCTTATGGCCTTACTATTTCGTTACTACCGTTTCGTTACGTACATTTTTTTTGAGAAATACTCATTTTCATTTATGTATTGAAAGTGTGTCATTGAATCAAGTATGGTAGTAATGAGAGCTCCATCAAGGTTACAGGTAAATGGTTAAATCAATTATGTGCTAGAAAACTCGTTTTGTACTTAGGTTTTGTTTTAGTTTTTGAATAGTTACAAAGTTAACCTCTACATCCAAGAACTTATAGAATAATTAACATAGTTTGTACATGTAAAGGGATAGAATAAGAATTATTTTATTCACCTCCAAGACGGAACCATCCACCGAAGGTGTCAGGAATTGGTAGTCCCGCTAAATAGTTGGGGATGGTAACTTTCACTAAATTTGAGAAAATGTACATTTTTACTTATTGTAATTAATTTCAGGCAGAGTAATGATTTCACTCCTTCTAAGCGGGTCTTGAGGCTATTTTACCGTTATTATTCTCGCTATTTCGTGCAAAAAATATTACACAACTGCACACTACAATAATCTGTATCTGTGCGTCCCTGTCTCATCTGTGCAACTGACACTGACATATATTAAATTTGACGTTTTGTTTGATTTTTTTTTTTTTTTTCTATATAGGTTTTACGGCTTTGGATATATATCCATACGGCCAATTCTTTCTTGTATTGCACAGTTTGGTAAAACATCTCAGTGTTTGTTTCTATGTTCTTCTGTGCGTTTGTGTCTATTTTGTTCTTTCTAAGTCTTCATTGTGGTCTTCATAGTTCTATTGATGTACTAGTAATGTACTGATAAATATGGAGATATGAATTTTCGTTCGCTAGTAAGGATGGCAAGAGGCGGGGAATATTTCCATCTTGGTATATCTTTAGTAAGCCACCCACTAGCAGTAGCCTCTCCATTTTAAAGGCTGGACATTGTAGAATCATATGGTCTAGGTCTGCAGCGTCTGTCTGACAATATTCGCATTTGTCTGTAGAGACCATTCTCATCCTTTTAAGTGGGCTGGAAATTTTGCATGTCCCAGCCTTAAACGATTTATTGTGGTTATGAATCTTCTTGAAGTAGAACTCTGTAGTTTGAAGTACCACGGTTTACTTGGAATTCCTAGCTGGATTTGCGAATACCATTTTCCTTTTGCTTGTTTTGTAATATTCCATACTTCTTCCCAATTGTCTTTCATCCTAGTTTTCAGAATCGAGTCATAATCGGTAATAGGTACTGGCGGAGCTGGATAAAGTGGATTGTTGTATGGATTTCGTATCTTCATAAGTTTGTCCACAGTTTCATTTCCAGTTATCCCAGAATGAGAGGGAACCCACATAAATTCAATATTCTTGTTATTCTGACTTTCCAATATTATTTGTCTAATTTTGGTTATATAAATGTTCGTTTTATACGAGATGTGCGCATTTTCCAAACATTTAAGTACGCTCAATGAGTCAGTTATAATCAAAAAGGTGTTGGTATCGTCAATTCCTTGGATATATTGCAAAGCGGTGCTTATAGCAAAAGCTTCTGCTGTAAATATTGATGCATTTTTGTCTAAAGAAAAGCATCTGCCAAATCTTATGTCCGAGTCATAGTATGCCGCCTTTGTACTTTCTTCTGTCTTAGACAGTTTTAGAAAGAAACTTTTAATAACATTTATTCATCAAAATAAAGTAACCTATCGACCAGTAATTTTTAAAAATAAAAATTGTGAAAAATAAGTATCGCTATGTCCAAAAACCACATTTTCATAGGATTCGATGCAATGCGGAGACGCGGTTGGGGTGAGTGTAACTTAATGATTGTTTGTATTGAGCATAATAATACATAATATGATGCTAATAATACCCAGTTTCTGGCCTGGGTGCGACTCAGAGCAAATAGAGCAAACAACATTGCGCTTACAGAATTTAGTTGTGTGACCGAAGCCAAGACACTTGAAACATTGTAACACAGGTTTAATATATTCTTCCACAGGGAGTATGCATAGACCATAACTTACTTGCTCAGGTAGAACATTACCAGCAAAGGTGACTGAGACGGTCTGCAAAGGGACGACACCTTCAGGGGTCCTCTTGGTGAATCTTCTCACAGCCAAGATCTCCTGCGAACTGATCAATTTGTCAAAAAGATGCCGGTTGCTCAATTCAGTTGGAATGAATTTGATTACTCCTGTTCGCTCTGAGTTGGAGGCAGGAATGAATGCCTTGATTTCGTGAGATGATAGAAAGGCCGAATTAGACAGTAAAGAGTTGGCGTTTTTCGGGTTATCGAAATATACAGCATACCGCAATGCATTGATTCGTTTGATTTCCTTAACACCTTTGTTGTATCTACTGAATATTGTGTTTAAGTAAATAGGATCTTTATTTCCAAATTTAATGTCATCATGAATGCTCTGAATAAAAACTGGATATACTGTCCCTGGAGAGTTCTCGGGATAACTCCGGATGTGATTCTTTTTGAAGTATGGTGCATATTTTCTGTCATCATCATCATCAGAAAGTTCACCAGTTGATGTCTTGTTTAACTTTCTTTTTTTCTGAGAATTAGCAGATCCACCACTATCAGAACCCATAGTTGCAGTTATAACTGAAATTCCCTTTAGATAAACTCAATAAACTCAAATTAAAAATCGCAGCGAAAAAAATTGAACCTCCCGCCTCGAAAGTTCGCGCCCTTTTTTTTTCGACAGCTACTGTCATTGTCACGCCACAGATTATATCAATTTGGATTTTGGAGTGGCGGTCTATCTAAGCGATTTTCAAAATGGAAATGATTATCGAATTGAATTTTCAATTGAAATGTCTCAAATATCACTAGTTCAAGCGAAAAGTAAAAAAAAATTCAAAAAATTAATAAGACAAAAAGTCATACGTTGCCATGGTAACGACACGTCTGTCTATGTTTTGTAAGTATTCGATTTAATTTTGTAATTTCCATTAAAAATTGAACGATGTTCTCTGGTTTAAGTCTTTAAATTAAAGTCAAATCATTGTACATTTTATGGAGGGTATTTATTTGTTGACAGCTACTAAAAATAGTCTCAATTATTTTTAGGTTAGGTTTGTGTTTTCAAATATCCGAATTGGATAATAGATTAGCTTTGTACGTATTGCTTGAGATAAAAATTAAGTGTAGATCCACATTTCATGTAGCGATCTTAGATAAACATAAATATTATAGTGAAACTCCCTGGTAAGTTGTATCTATTTGCGCTCAGTCGGACGACAGGAGTTGATTTTCCTACCTCTGTTTTCCAGCACTCATATAAGGTATCTCATCAACCAGACGCATCTCGGCAAGATCATTAGAGATTTTATACTACGCCACTTGAATGTTTTTGCCAGTTGGTAGGTAACAGTAGTTCTTCAATTTAGTCAATACTATTAGAACATTTTTATCAATTTGAGAGAAATAGAAATATAAAAGAGTATTATTATCATTTTTTAAACTAGTATTGAGCATTACATTTTATATTTGCATTGTATAATTCAAAAATTATAAACTTTTAATGACCAACATTTATTTAAGATTAGTATTTAAACAAACAAAACAGAAGAAAAATAAATAACAAAATACAGTTTTTAAACAATGCTGTAGTTTCCAACAGCCAGCATACAGCTTCTTAGGTCCTGTACACAGTCATAGTATGATCGGTATGGCGGTGCCAGTGTAGCGTCATACAGTTTTATAACTTCAATGAACTTCTTAACAGCTTCTCCGTATTTGCCCTCTTCCATTGCAGCACGACCCAGGCGGTACATCATTTCAGTGTCCTGTGAAATGGAACATTTATTTTAATATTATTTGTACTTTTTGTACTTTAGGTAGACCTTTTTTAGACAAGCTCCATCATAGATGAGATGGATTATAATGAGTAATATAATAGTAAATATGGAACTACAAATATTTATTTGAAAACTGTTGTTTCAGGTGACTATCTACTGTAAAATATAGGAAAAATAAGTCATGGCAGATGAAGAAGATGGTAAATTAATAAGATTATTATTATTAAATAAAAATAATTTTATCAAAAAAATAACATCATATTTTTTTATTCCTTATTTCTTTCTGACAATAAATTCTTGTTTCTGCCAGTTCTAGATGAGGAGGCTGAGGTAGGACCAGAAGGGAGTGAAACAGCCCTCACTCCAGTAGAAGCAGACAAACCCCTTGCACCACCCAAATATGAAGTGAGACCAGGGCTGGGAGAGAAGTATGTTATTTTCTAAAATAAGTAAGACCTTTTTATAGTAAAAAAAAGAGTCTTGGTACGTCTGAAAGACTACATTTTGATGGCGGCTTCGCCCGCGTATATTTATAATTTCGTTATGAATTAAAACCTGTTCTGAATTTCTGATGTATAAACAACATGCGCGAATGGTCTAGTGCCCATAATGAGGGTTCCGGCGCCGGTATGGCGCAGGCGCGATATTCATCCGCATACACAAAAATCTGGTCCGTCGCCATTGCGGTTCCGGCGTCATGTACTTGAAGCTTAATGAGGGCTATCGTTTTTATACTTAACAGTTGGCACCCCTGGCGATTGACAGGACCTTACTCTACAGTGGCGCCATCTTGATGAGTGCAAATGCGATAGTCCTCCTACCACTTTAGCGCTCACCAGTTGGTGCCACTGTCTTCGCTACTAGCAAGTGACAGGACCTTATTCTACAGTGGCGCTAACTGGTGAGCGCTAAAACGATAGCCCTCATTGTTTATTTGTCAGATTCCAGGCACAGAATGTCAGGGACATAATTCTGTCGACGATGCAGGAACAACTAATGGGCAGGCAGTACCGAGCCGACCAGGCGCCGCGCTGGGCCCGCGCCATCGCCAATGGCGTCAGGCAGAGGGTACAAGAACTTGAGATGAAAAGGTCAGTGTGTACAGGACATTTAATTTTATTATGCGGATATGGTTTGTGCGTGATATCAACAGATGGCGCTGTATGCACTGCGACATAATCCTGGATCACGGTTACATAGTTTTCAATACGACCTTAATTCGGATTTTGCTACCAAGCCCAATTAGGAAACATAATGTCTGCCTGCGTCATCGCTCGCATGAATTTCGCTGCATTTTGGCTCTATACCGAGCGTCTCGTGCTAAAAAATCAATGCTTTAAAATCTCAACTATGTACCATCGGCAACAGTGTTAACTATCCATTGCCTGTCATGTCGTCTCGTTCTATCGCAAAGTATCACCATTTGATGAGAGCGAGAGCAAAAACGGAAATGGATAGTTAACAGTGTGGACGTGTGTACATACATCCGAATTACTATTTTTAAATCCTACATAAAAATTGCTTATTTTGGTTACAATATAAGGCATGGAAGCGTAAAAGACAGGTAGAAATTTCCCTCGCATATGCGTCGAATCAGTGATTTTATATAAGTAAGTAGAGATTTCTATTTCAGATACAAAATAATAGTACAATGCACGATATTGGAAATGAAAGGCGCCGGTATAAAGTGCGGCCAGCGTTGCATCTGGGACCCAGAGACCGACGACTATATCGACGATATGTTCAAAAACGACACCATCTTCTGTTATACCATTGCGTATGGAGTTTATATGTATTAATAAGTTAGAAGGTTTTATGTGTGCCTTTAAGGGTTCGATTGAAACCTAGAAAACGTTTTAACAAAAGATAAGAGTTTTGTCGTCTGTGCTGATAAAATAGTGGCGATATGCACTTTTTATGTGTTGGTGATCAGCGATGCACATACACTCAGGCTGTGGTGATGATGATGCAATGAAGATCGTTTTAATCGCTCGACGGTTTTACACGTTAAAATAGTGAAATAATTATGCTAGTATTTATATTTCAAGAATGAGTGATTGAAGTAAGGTGTAAAGGCTGATATTAGGCAATAAAATTGTTTTTATCTAAAACAATCTTTTATTTTATACAAAAGTAATTAAATAAGTATCTATCTATTCCTCAGGTACTTAGATTCGAGTTATGTAGTCAAGTAAGTTTATTACAAACTTAGTTTTCTCTCTTAGCAATCATTGTTATTGTTTCAATTTCAATAATGTTAGGCGGAAAATTTTAGACGGCATTATCTTTCAGTTTGCTTTTAAAATTTGAAGTAGAGCCCTAATATGGATAAACCAATAAATGGTATTTTCACACGAATTCATATTACTAAATAAATTTGCAAGCGCGTATTAATTTAATTGTCATATTATACGGATGCGTCGCCGGAGTGCTAACAACAAAATAGTTTGTAAGATGTTTTCATATAGGTAAATAGTTATTTTAGGATGCCATTCTTGTGTCGAGTCATCATCTCAAAATACTTTGTATACCATACAATTACTTTTGCCAATCCTTTCCCGAGATAAGTTACAAATCTCTCGTGCCCTGCTATTCGAATCTATTCGACTACCTTCGTGAAAAACATCGTATTGAACACCGCACTCAACTGGTTAGGTACTTAACTTTATTGTCACTTTTGCACGAGAATTGTCCCTTTTTACTAAACTATTACAAACCTGCAAAGACTTGAGTCCCTTTAGAATGTTGGTATACTGCTGGCAGAGGCCACACTGCACCATGAATTCCTTGCAGTCATGGGGAACCGCCACCACGTTGGGACACGGACGGTCAGAGTCGCACCTGGAAAATGAGAGTCAATTTGCACGTTATGAAAAATACATGCGCTCATTCCGTCGGTTACAAAGGGTTTCACTGCATTTTAAGTACATTTTTATTTTGAACCCGAATTTGACCTAATGTCATGTCTGTAATGTAACTTTTGGATCGTCTTTTTTTTAACGAATATCGTTTACTCAAACAATGTGGTTTTTAAATAAATTAGCTGTGATAAGACTATATGGTTCTGTTTTCTCAAAACAATGCTGTAATTTATGTTGGTCCTGAGTAAATTGTCATAGCAAAATGCACGTTAAGTTTTTCATATCATCAGTGCTACGAAAACCATGTCGTTTAACTCACTTGAATCGCATATAGTTCTCATTCATCTCGGTATACAGAGGCCAGTTGTCCTTGCATGGCGCGCAGTTGCAGTCAAACCAGTACTGCTCTTTCAGGTCTGCCTGCCTTTTCTCTTTGGGCACCGTCGTGAATATGGGGCCATAGTTTTCTGACACTTCCTCGCCTTTCTTGATGTTTTTGACAGCACGAACTATGATCTGGGGGCCGCAGAAATACCTGGGAAAAAGAAAAAGTTATTTTATTACTGCGTCATACAGACTAATTTCAAGTAGGTATAAGCTCGTCTCTTTATAAAGGTCATACCTGACTACACTGGGGTCACAACTGTGGTTAAAAAGAGCAAGTGTCGGGAATACCGCTCCAGCCAGGAAGACAGACTTTCCACCGTGCTTAATAACGCACTGCCCAACTTTCGGCCTCGGACACTGCAGTTCAAAGACTTCGTGGGCATTGAATTGAAGAACTTGCAGGTTTTTCAGTATCAGACCACCGATTACAGCGACGTCGTCTTTGTATTTCTCGTCAATAGCCATTGACTTCAACTCTTCAAGATTCACTGGCGTATCTCTCGGTTTTCCTTCAAAGTATCCGCTGATCTCTAGTAATTTTACCAAGAACGCCGTCATCTGTGTTCTATGCAAGAAGTCCTGTTTGGTTCTCTTGTCTTCATGGGCTACCAAGTGGTAGATGTTCCTGTAATCGTCAGTTTTGTAAGGCCCAGTAGGCTTGGTATCAAGGTCCTTATAAATATTTGTGAAAAACTCTTTCTTGTTTTGTGTGATCATTCTTAACGCTATATGGCATGTCACTGAACACCCGGACTTCCAGAGGAGAGGCAGTATATGGCACTCGTAGGCGTGGTACGATTTCTGCGCGGTCTCCAAGCATTTTTCACTGCAGAATATTACGTTGGGGCATTTCGGGCAGGGCAGTGGAATCGGGCACCTGAAAATATTAACAGACTGTCAAATAACATGACCAATAGATGAAATCTATTGAACTGAAGTCGAAACTTACTTCATGAAGCAATTTTGACAATGCGTTTTAGAATATTCTCCTAGCAAGACTCCACTATGAGGCTTTTCTACGAGCAAAATTTCTCCAACTTGTATATCTCTAGTTGCTGTAGCAAATCTACCTCTCACATCATCCTGGTCGATTTGTATAGCTTCAGAAGCGGCGGGGTATTGGGGGTTGTTTTTACCCGGCAATTTAGGTTTTGGGGGAGTTTTCTTCAATGGTTCTGGGTCTTTTGGGTTGCCTGCTAGAACTAGACCTTTGTTTAGAATTTCTAACATCAGTTTAGCGTCAGTTCTCATTTTCTGTCTCTTTTCCTTATCAAGCTTATCTGCTTCATCGAGTGCGGTAATTGTATCTCTGTAACATAAAAATTAGATTTTTTATGTGACCGGAGGCAAACGAGAAAACGGATCACCTGATTGTAAGTGATTACCGTCGCCCATAGACACCCGCAGTCTCAGGGGCGTTACAGGTGCGTTATAATGATTATTTGGCTTGACATAGAGATCGTTTCATTAAATTCTTGCTATTAAATGTTGATGGATGAGTATGAATTCATATTCATTTGATAAATATTTCGACAAGTATTATTCTATGTGTAGATACTCACTGAAAAGCTGATATTGCCTCCTTATTCCTTTTGAGGACTAAAAGCGTTCGGGCCCTCCTCTCGTAGACCTTGTACCTCAAATGCCGAGGGTACCCGAGCGACAGGCACCGCTTGATGTCTGCGAGGGTTTCCTCGTATTGCTCCAAGTGGTTGAGAGCTGCCGATCGATTCGCCATCAAGATTGATTGCTCGTCAGCTGTAAAAATAATAGGTACAAATAGAATCATATTTTTTTGCCTTTCTTTACGTACCGGCTGATATTTTCAATGTAATAACACGGCTGTCTCCTAATCATGAAACAGTTAGATTAACTTTGTTTTAAAAGATGAGATAAAAAAATATCAAAACACCGCGGCACCTTTTTTGTTTTACTTTGAGTAGGTAGTTATTTTAATCTAAGATGCTACTGTCACGCGATAAAGCAATTAGGGTGTCGAGAATTCGAGATGCACGTGTTGTGCATCAGATCAGTCTGCACTTACTTTCCTTCGCCGGCACATAGAGCATGCTCTGGCTGTACATCTGCAGCGCCTTGCCCCAGTTCCCTTTCAGCACCGCCTTGTTCCCTTCATCCTTCAACTGCCGCGCTTTTTCCATATCTTTTTTCACCGGGAAATCGCCGCTGGTCTGACATTTCTCTACGTCCCCACGAATATCGTAACTTTTTATAACAGGCAAACTGCACAAGTACGAAACACGTTTAGCGTTGCATTCTAAATTGGCGAAATTGTTCCTTGTAACGTCGTCTATATTCTGGTTTATGGTTTCATGGAACTTTTTGAAGAAGCCGCCGTCTTGGGACATTTTGCGATGTAACTTTACAACCACTGACAGACTGTTTTACTATACTTTAAGGTTAAAAGCGTGTGAAAGCCGGCACACTGCGGCAGTGTCGACGGTACTGTATTTCTATTTTTGTAATTGGAGCACTGATCTGTAGATCACTTCAGTCGGTCGGGAACTTTCGTGAAAACAGTTCCATAATAGCTGCATTACGTTGGCATATGAAATTATCTACCAAAATAGGAGTTCTAAAATTAGATCGCGGTGTCTATCAACATGAGTCACGATCAAGGAGCAGCAATATTATTCGATAATTTTTTGTCGCCGCCCGAGTCATTGGACTGTAAGGCCGAAAGCTCTAGAACAGTGGCGCAGTGGCTGAATGATTTTAGGTATATTAAAGTCCAGTCATCTCGTTGTTTGGGGAAATACGATTGCGTACTAAGTTTTTTGTCTTTCAAAAGAGGCTTAATTATAGTTTAGGGTTAAGTAATTTATGCTTTTGATTGATAATAATACTTAATGGTAGTGTGTTGTTTTGTATCTGATTGTGTTAACGAATCCGCAGGTTTATAATGCAGCAAAAGTCATTAATAACCGAGATTTTTGTCGGAAGGTATTTTAATTTGCGCTTTAAGATAAAATAATAGAAAATGATTTGTTATTTAGGTGCTTGTGGAGTTGATGTATGATTCAGCATCATTTACCTACTTGCCTCCTACCTGTGACCTAGAAGTCACTAGATATAGAGATATCGTGTATCAAACTTCTAGTTAAGACTGTCAGTCACGACGATTCTCAGTAACTAGTAACCACCTGTACGATCTACAAAAGCTTTTCTGTGAACTTGCATCAATTAGTGGCGGCAAAAGCCAGCGGAATAGTTTTTGCTTAGAACGTTTATGTTCTTTAGTTTATGTTGTGTTAATGGTTCATTAGGCTAAAGACGTACTTAATTTGTTAAAAGGGTCATCATTCCAAACGAATAACATGACAGGCCATGTTTGTAAGTAGTATAGTGGTGAACACTGGGGTCCCCCAAAGACATGCAACTGGTTCCAATCCCGGAAGTGACTAATTTTTGTTCTATTTAATGTGGTCAAAGTGTTTGTTCTATTTAAAGCTTTTAAAAGTTTTACTTTTTATCTTTTTTCTCATAATAATAGGTATCCTGTGCCTGTATCCAGGGGATCATTTCATTTACCTTGGGCTATGTAAACTTTTGGTAAATCCTTCAGGTCCACTGCTATGTCGATTTTATTTATTTGCGCAAGCGTCTATGGTATAAAAGCATACAGTATCTATTAGCAGGTAGGTAGATATACTTAGGTACACACGTGCATAAGAGACTGGAATTTAAAAAGTTTAAGAATTTTTTTTTGCCTTGAGAACAACGAGAGTAAAGCCCGCATATTTCCTTATTTCTGAGAACGCTTGCTTTAACATATGCTTTTTATTGTGA